AAATCTGGTGAAGGTGGATGCAAGCGGGTGCAATTGTTGCTCGTCTTCCGTCATGGGAAGAGCAGAAAGCGAAATTACTTGTGCTTTGAACGGAGTCGAGAGCACTTTGGGCACGTAGCCGTGCCTTGGCTTGAGGACGACTTCAGAGTCGCCTGATCCAAACTCAACGCAGGAAGCGCTAACAGAGAATGCTTGGAGGTCGCCTACTCGCTTGACTGATGCTAAGGCTAGCAGTCCAGTGGACTGCGGTAAACCTCGGGATAAACAGAGAGACTAATATTAGCTTAGCTCTTTTTGAAATCGCTGTTTTTTGCCTTTCATATTACTCTCGTTGTCGTTGCTTTGCCCTCTACAATCATTAATGTTTAAGCCCAGCATCTCCAGATGGTGTAGGGAAGTGTTACGCCGTGCTTCGCCTGTTGTGGACTCGACTGGGAGAAATCCAGTTAAGTGTTCTGTTATTGAAACATCAGATGTATCGCAAGCCACACTACGCAGTATAACTGACATTTGTTCAATGTGAGAAACATCAGGCGTACAGTCCCATGATCACGGCAAAATATTTTGCATCATTAACTTTTTTTGTTATGACCTTGAACAATCATCTGTCCGATCTGTTCAATAAGTTCATTCTGAATGTCCTTGCTTAAGTAGTGGCGTGTTGTGTCATGTCTCTGAATTCTTCACAAGTGATCATTCAACACTGGTCATACTTAGCAAGCAACTCCACTTCACCCAAGAAATTACCACTGGAGGGGTCAAAGAGTTTATCGGACTAAATGGCTAAGCATCCGCCTATCGGTGGATAGGATCATCTAAATGGCATATTATGCTGATGATTCTGGCGAGTCGTCAGCGGGTAGTGCGGGGGTTCTGTCTCCTCATTTATGCTGGTGAACACTACGGACTCGTTCACTGATTCTGTGCTATCTTCGGACTAATACCTTTCTCGTCGTCGGCCTTCGTCGTTCCCTCCCTCTACTCTTTAGGCACTGCTGCACCTGCACTAGAACTAGCTAGAATAAGGTTAGCTTCTGGAGCATCGGAACGTTTCGGGAAAAGTTTAATTTTGGACAGCTTTCCAAGCTTTTCCATTTTGCCTTTGCACGCCTTCTATATTCAGCGCCACTAGGCTTTGCACGTCTCATTGCGATCACCCGTTAGCACTGCCCAGAAACTGAAAATCTAATTCACTGCTTTTAGCAAAGCCATCCATTCAATGATCGCACTCGTCATGGTGCGGCGCGCCGGCGCCCTCTAGTGTCTAGCAAGTGCCCAGTTTGCCCAGCGCTTCCGCCGGCCGTGTGTGTGTGTGTGTGTGAGAGCCCATACCCCTTCACCACACTCAAACCTCACATGGGCATCGTCCAGTACAGGGACCACGAGCAGGAGTGTGTGTGTGTGTGTGCAGATCTCCTGTTAAAGCTCTCTCTCTCTCTCTCTCTCTCTCTCACACTCTCTCTCTCTGTACTGCAGTGGCGGATATTCCCGGAGCTCATCTGAACCGTGGGCTGTGTGTGTGTGTGTGTGCAGATCTCCTGTTAAAGCTCGCTCTCTCTCTCTCTCTCTCTCTCTCTGTACTGCAGTGGCGGATATTCCCGGGCTGATCCCCGGAGCTCATCTGAACCGTGGGCTGGGTGTGTGTTTCCTGCGGCACATCGAGCGCTGCCGTGTCCTGCTGTATGTGCTGGACATGTCGTGTGCGGAGCCCTGGGTTCAGCTCCAGCAGCTGAGCTTCGAGCTCGACCAGTACAGGCCTCAGCTCTCCCTCAGACCGCACGCCGTCGTGGCCAACAAGATGGACCTGCCGGGGGCCAGGAGGAGCCTGGAGGCCCTGAGGAGCCGCGTCCCGCACACGGTCATCCCGGTGTCTGCACTGACCGGGGAAAACACCGCAGAGCTGGTCCTGCACCTGCGGCGGATGTACGACAGCGGACTCTCGTAGCAAACATCTGCCTTTCTCCAGCTCCTGCTCATCACAGCACACACAGGCTTCATCATCTGATTCTACACACACACGTGTGGCTGTAACCAGAATCAGAGAGCTAAACATCATGCAGGTTAATACGAGACTACTACTGTGATCACTTCACATGTGCAGTTACTGTGCTCACAGTCTTACACATGCATCGTCATGAAGAGCAGAGCTGCTGAGCCGGGATGTTTCACACACTACAGGAAGGGAAGAGATAGTGTGTGTTCATCATCGCTGAACAAACCCTGATCCTCTTCATGACGGCTCTCGCCTCTTTACTTCGCACTGCTGGAGTTGCTTGAACAAGTCTGCAAAAAAGTATTTTGTATTTCATGTACTTTTGTTTTTCATAACTAATAGAGTAAATCTATGTTTTCAAGCCATAAACTGGGGTTTGTAATATCTATTTCCCCGCCTCAGTGTCTATTTCCCCGCCTCAGTGATGTGGTGCTGTAGAACGACTGCTGTAGGACGACTGCTGTAGGGCGACTGCTGTAGGGCGACTGCTGTAGGACGACTGCTGTAGGGCGACTGCTGTAGGGCGACTGCTGTAGGGCGACTGCTGTAGGACGACTGCTGTAGGACGACTGCTGTAGGACGACTGCTGTAGAGCGACTGCTGTAGGGCGACTGCTGTAGGACGACTGCTGTAGGACGACTGCTGTAGGACGACTGCTGTAGGGCGACTGCTGTAGGACGACTGCTGTAGGACGACTGCTGTAGAGCGACTGCTGTAGGGCGACTGCTGTAGGACGACTGCTGTAGGACGACTGCTGTAGGACGACTGCTGTAGAGCGACTGCTGTAGGGCGACTGCTGTAGGACGACTGCTGTAGGACGACTGCTGTAGGACGACTGCTGTAGAGCGACTGCTGTAGGGCGACTGCTGTAGGACGACTGCTGTAGGACGACTGCTGTAGGACGACTGCTGTAGGGCGACTGCTGTAGAGCGACTGCTGTAGGGCGACTGCTGTAGGACGACTGCTGTAGGACGACTGCTGTAGGACGACTGCTGTAGGGCGACTGCTGTAGGACGACTGCTGTAGGGCGACTGCTGTAGGACGACTGCTGTAGGACGACTGCTGTAGGGCGACTGCTGTAGGACGACTGCTGTAGGACGACTGCTGTAGGACGACTTCTGTAGGGCGACTGCTGTAGGGCTGTAGGACGACTGCTGTAGGACGACTGCTGTAGGGCGACTGCTGTAGGGCGACTGCTGTAGGACGACTGCTGTAGGACGACTGCTGTAGGACGACTGCTGTAGGACGACTGCTGTAGGACGACTGCTGTAGGACGACTGCTGTAGGGCGACTGCTGTAGGACGACTGCTGTAGGACGACTGCTGTAGGACGACTGCTGTAGGACGACTGCTGTAGGACGACTGCTGTAGGGCGACTGCTGTAGGGCGACTGCTGTAGGACGACTGCTGTAGGACGACTGCTGTAGAGCGACTGCTGTAGGACGACTGCTGTAGAGCGACTGCTGTAGGGCGACTGCTGTAGGGCGACTGCTGTAGGGCGACTGCTGTAGAGCGACTGCTGTAGGACGACTGCTGTAGAGCGACTGCTGTAGGGCGACTGCTGTAGGGCGACTGCTGTAGGACGACTGCTGTAGAGCGACTGCTGTAGGGCGACTGCTGTAGGGCGACTGCTGTAGGACGACTGCTGTAGGGCGACTGCTGTAGGGCGACTGCTGTAGGGCGACTGCTGTAGAGCGACTGCTGTAGGGCGACTGCTGTAGAGCGACTGCTGTAGGACGACTGCTGTAGGGCGACTGCTGTAGGACGACTGCTGTAGAGCGACTGCTGTAGGGCGACTGCTGTAGAGCGACTGCTGTAGGACGACTGCTGTAGAGCGACTGCTGTAGGGCGACTGCTGTAGGGCGACTGCTGTAGAGCGACTGCTGTAGGACGACTGCTGTAGGGCGACTGCTGTAGGACGACTGCTGTAGAGCGACTGCTGTAGGGCGACTGCTGTAGGACGACTGCTGTAGGACGACTGCTGTAGGACGACTGCTGTAGGGCGACTGCTGTAGGACGACTGCTGTAGGGCGACTGCTGTAGAGCGACTGCTGTAGGGCGACTGCTGTAGAGCGACTGCTGTAGGACGACTGCTGTAGGGCGACTGCTGTAGAGCGACTGCTGTAGGGCGACTGCTGTAGAGCGACTGCTGTAGGGCGACTGCTGTAGAGCGACTGCTGTAGGACGACTGCTGTAGGACGACTGCTGTAGAGCGACTGCTGTAGGGCGACTGCTGTAGAGCGACTGCTGTAGAGCGACTGCTGTAGGACGACTGCTGTAGGGCGACTGCTGTAGGGCGACTGCTGTAGGGCGACTGCTGTAGGGCGACTGCTGTAGGACGACTGCTGTAGAGCGACTGCTGTAGGGCGACTGCTGTAGGACGACTGCTGTAGGGCGACTGCTGTAGGGCGACTGCTGTAGGGCGACTGCTGTAGGACGACTGCTGTAGGGCGACTGCTGTAGGACGACTGCTGTAGGACGACTGCTGTAGGACGACTGCTGTAGGACGACTGCTGTAGGACGACTGCTGTAGAGCGACTGCTGTAGGGCGACTGCTGTAGAGCGACTGCTGTAGGGCGACTGCTGTAGGACGACTGCTGTAGGGCGACTGCTGTAGGACGACTGCTGTTGGACGACTGCTGTAGAGCGACTGCTGTAGGGCGACTGCTGTAGAGCGACTGCTGTAGAGCGACTGCTGTAGGACGACTGCTGTAGGGCGACTGCTGTAGAGCGACTGCTGTAGGGCGACTGCTGTAGGACGACTGCTGTAGGGCGACTGCTGTAGGGCGACTGCTGTAGGGCGACTGCTGTAGGGCGACTGCTGTAGGGCGACTGCTGTAGGACGACTGCTGTAGGGCGACTGCTGTAGGACGACTGCTGTAGGGCGACTGCTGTAGGGCGACTGCTGTAGGACGACTGCTGTAGGGCGACTGCTGTAGGACGACTGCTGTAGGGCGACTGCTGTAGGGCGACTGCTGTAGGGCGACTGCTGTAGGACGACTGCTGTAGGGCGACTGCTGTAGGGCGACTGCTGTAGGACGACTGCTGTAGGACGACTGCTGTAGGACGACTGCTGTAGGGCGACTGCTGTAGGACGACTGCTGTAGAGCGACTGCTGTAGGACGACTGCTGTAGGGCGACTGCTGTAGGGCGACTGCTGTAGGACGACTGCTGTAGGGCGACTGCTGTAGGGCGACTGCTGTAGGGCGACTGCTGTAGGGCGACTGCTGTAGGACGACTGCTGTAGGGCGACTGCTGTAGGACGACTGCTGTAGGGCGACTGCTGTAGGGCGACTGCTGTAGGGCGACTGCTGTAGGACGACTGCTGTAGGGCGACTGCTGTAGGGCGACTGCTGTAGGACGACTGCTGTAGGACGACTGCTGTAGGACGACTGCTGTAGAGCGACTGCTGTAGGGCGACTGCTGTAGAGCGACTGCTGTAGGACGACTGCTGTAGGACGACTGCTGTAGGGCGACTGCTGTAGGGCGACTGCTGTAGGACGACTGCTGTAGGGCGACTGCTGTAGGACGACTGCTGTAGGGCGACTGCTGTAGGGCGACTGCTGTAGGGCGACTGCTGTAGGACGACTGCTGTAGGGCGACTGCTGTAGGGCGACTGCTGTAGGACGACTGCTGTAGGACGACTGCTGTAGGACGACTGCTGTAGGGCGACTGCTGTAGGACGACTGCTGTAGAGCGACTGCTGTAGGACGACTGCTGTAGGGCGACTGCTGTAGGGCGACTGCTGTAGGACGACTGCTGTAGGGCGACTGCTGTAGGGCGACTGCTGTAGAGCGACTGCTGTAGGGCGACTGCTGTAGAACGACTGCTGTAAAAAATTATTTTATAACATTTCCACTACAATGGACACCACGACTGAAGCAACATAAATATAAATTGCATACGTACAAACAAAAAATAGAGGCATCTGTGACGTGGCAATTCACGATATGCCTGGCAGGAGATTGGGAATATGACCCATGTTCCCCGTCATAAGGGAAGCGGCCTCTGCCTGTGGTGATACCAGGATGAGGAGCTAGAGATGGCCAATCAGCTCAATCAGCCGCTGTGACTACATCTCCTGCTGGGTGCATGTGAATGAAATAGTGGTTAGTCAGGTCTTTCAGAAATGTAATCCTCGTAAAAGCCCAGGTCCAGATAAGATATGCGGTATTGTTTAAAACACTGCGGTTCAGTTAGCTAAAGTTTAGACCAATAGCACTAGTGATGAAATGTTTTGAGCGTTTTGAAAAAAAAAACATTGTATCTGAAACCGAGCATCTCATAGATCAGTCCTCTAGAAGGGTAGAGGACGCCATTTAACTGTTACATCTGTATTCACATTTAGAGAAACCTAAGACTCATTTGTGTATTTCCCGTCAGCTGTAACTGTAGTACGTTAGCAGACACCCTTTCATTAGACAGTTGCTGACAGGGCTGATTGGTTTCCTCAGTTGTGGAATCTCGCAGGTTAAGTTAGGAGGGTCTCTTTCAGAAACAAATGATCACTTCAGTCGGATCACCTCAAGGTGATAAACCTTATCTCCATTATTATTTATTTTATTCCTGTTCTACTTCTTTTAAAAATAGATGTATTATGACATTCTGCTTGAGTTGCTGGTATGGAAATGCTTCAGAGGCTCAGAAGAACTCACTTGTAACAATGACAAGCAAACTGTTGGAAATTAAGTTAATAAGTATAGAGAGTAGGCCTATATTTATAAACCGGATAGTTCCGGTCCTTCATTCTGATTGGTTGAGTTAAATGGTTAAATTGGTTAAATTTTACTGTCTATGAAATTACTCCACACACACACACACACACACACACACACACACACACACACCTGTCAGCGCATTACATTAGTGTTGCACACACACACACACACCTGTGAGCGCATTACATTAGTGTTGCACACACACACACACACCTGTCAGCGCATTACATTAGTGTTGCACA